TCGCGTTTTTCTTTCTTTAAAAAAATTTTTTTAGTGACATAAAAATAACCGCATAACATGTTACATAATACTATACGGAGTAGTGGTTATTCATGAACCGGCACAAATTCATGACGTCATACTATTGCTCCTTTGTATTTATAGGCTATGATGGAATTCAGTATTAATGTATAGACGAAAAACGTCAACATAAATAGAGGAGGAAATAGATGTTATGTGAACGAAAATACATAGCCAGAAGGTAGGCCCTATATAATTAAACTTCGGAGAAATTTTAAAATCTTTCTATCTATCTATCTATCTGTCTAGTAGGCTACCTCAGGTCAAGGTCTATATAACTATCCCGGAACTAATTTTGGAAATGATGTGTGACGTTGACATATGCCTACCTCATGCTATTTGCTATTGGTTGGATTGTAACAAATATTTATGCATAGGCATATATTAAATATAAAAAAGGCATGTACAATTAATAATAATAATCATTTAAAAGTATTTATTGTTTAAAGATTAAGAAGAATAGTTCACATTTAATCGACATTGTTTAATATAATTTTTAAGTTTAAAAACATTGTTATCCAGAATTGTGACACCATTTTGTTACGATGCAACCTTCTACTGCATAATAAATACGATTGATGGATATCGTTTCAAGTATCTGGTTAAGGACGTGAGGTACAAGCGACCTATGCCAGTGGTACCTTATATTCCATAATGGCCGCACAGTGATCTGCAGTAAGCTATGTGTCCATATGAAGATATAAGGGCCTATAAGAGGGGGGGTTAAACCCTTCTTTTTATTATTTTTCAAATTAAATGCATGATTTTAAAATGAAATCAACGTCATAGTTAAAGATAACGATATCTAAATTACACTTTATATAATTTTGATTTAATATTACTTATTAATTTTAAAAAAAAGGAATAACCAAGAATCAAAAATACTTTATTGTCAACAAACAAATAAGTGAACAATGAAATTAATTTGTCATAAACTTAATTAAACACACAATATAAAAATATTATTAACATTAAGACTAAAAGATATGACAAATATAAAAATATTGTATAAGTGAGTTATTGCATTGACAAGGCACTGAGTTAAATGAAATTAAAGTTAGTTTCAAGTTGTATGACATACACAAATATAAGAGAAAATAAAAGTAAAAATATGATAAATTATATTATGAACAGAGAACATGAATATGAGTTAAGGTCACTTAGTACTGAATAGATATATCATCTGTTGAACGGTATAAAATAAATGGATTGCATTCGGTAGGAATGATTTTCAGTGCCGTTTAGTTTGACATGGCATTGGCCTAAGCCTACCAGACCTCTTACAGTGTAATGGGTGGTTTACGTATTTTATAATGTTATCGAGAATTTTCAAGGCACTATTTTTACATTAATTTCGTCAATGGTTTTCGATACTGCCCATAACACGACCTGCAGGATTGATTGATTTCCTGATTTTACTATTGTTGTGTTCTGTTAAACTACTGGACCAGACGATTCAATTATACATTAAAACACTAACACTAGTGAAAACTAGTACTAAAATATCCTCGTTGACTCTAAATTGCTTTAGTTTACGCAAGTAGAACAGACGTTGATTTGCTTTTTTAGTATTAGCTATCCAATTAATATATTTATCTAATACGGTATGGTACCTATTTACATAATTTGAATAATCCTGAAAAACGATTATTAATGTACTTGTAATACAATTAGCACGCTATAAATTAGTCCGTAAGACTTCCATAAAAATACGCGCTTGTACCATAAACGCATGTGTTTATTACGTTTAAAGCAGGGAGGCGGGGCTTAGCGCTCATTGAAGTTGAATGTCCCACATACTCATGTATTCTGTCGCATTTAATGAAAAGGCGTATGGAAACAATGAGTACCCAAATATATTAGGTTTATGTTATACTCTTTTGAATATTTGTCTTGTTTGTTCAAGCCTTTGAACTTTATTATCACAGTATGTTATTTACGTTTAATAGACATATAAAAAGACGATTAAATGTAGGCCAGTTGTAAGCCTACACATAAAGCTTCTACTAGCACTACAGCTTCATGACATTTGCAATTGGTTGAATTTCTCACAATATTATTCATAAATACAGAAACTTAACAAAAACAAAATGTCATTGATATTTTTTAAAGTACTTCATTAACTTTTGTATATTATATTATATTATAGGATAACAGTAAAATACACATCTACTTTCTGTTGCGCATAAGTATAATTGATAATTATAGGCCTACTTACAGTCAGTGTATTCTAATATATATTGACTTGGACAAGCACTGATATGATATCAGCTACGTATAACCCCTGTTAAGGGACACCTTCAAGACCAAAAAAAGTCCCCCGCCCCTTAAATAGGGGTGTCCCTAAGATAGTGGTACCCCTATTACTGGGACACTAACCAAAAGCATGAAATTGTCCCTAATAGGGTTTTGGCACAACTTCATACAATGAGTACATGTGATAGATTCTTTATAATTTTATTTCAGTTAAGCTAAAGAACGACTTGCAATATAAAATAAAATAAATAAATAAAATAAATAATTGGATGCCTATAGGCATCCATTTTAAGAATCAAGAAAATGTTCAATTTTATCGTTGTCAAAATATAAATTGGAATGAAATATTGTTCTTTTTAATCTATTGTAGTTGTATGTAGTGATACAATTTCAATAAGAAAAATACAATAAAGAAAAAGTATCCTCTTAATAGGGGTTGAAATGTGATTTGACCATGTGGCAAACTCAGAAAGTATCCTCTTAATAGTACTGGGCTGTGTGTTCAAATGTGTATTTCCCACTTGTTTCACGGAAAACAGTGTAGTATGGGATCGTTAAATGCTTTAAATTTATATAATTAGGGAGAAATATACATAATCTTATTTTATGAGGTTTAAGGGAGCGGAGTAATAAAAAGATAAAGAAAAACTTTTGAAATTATCATTTTTCGTGGCAGTGGGTGAGCTAATTGGCCATAAATAAAATTGTATTTTTATTCGAAATTATCATTTTTGGTGGGCGGCAGCTTTGCTATAAACAAGGTATAAAATGTCTCGCCTTTGCACGCATTATTATGATGATTGCTTTACTGGGTTTGCAATCCTTTTGCCCATGTCCTATTAAAATACTACAGTACGGTACTTGCGCACGGCCTTCTCCTTATAGGGACATATAGTTTGTGCATTGATATTTAAGTCTGTGTTGTTTTTGATCTGCAATAGAAAGTTACACTAGATTCAAGATTTTGTCTAATTGATTCGAAATCATTATAAACAATCTCTGAATATAAAATGATTTTAAATATATATTTTTAATTATTATTTTGAACAGTATAATATGTAATGTATTTAAATACTGTATTATATTTTTTAGACTCATTCTCATAGTTACCAAACTGAGAGATTTGAAATGCGTGACTAGCAGCCGCCGGGCAGGGGAGTGGCGAGGCCGCCGCACCAATGTCCCACCGAGGTCCAGACCCGGGGCCCGGTGGAGGTCAGAGTTTTAGTCACTTGATCCAAGATAATACTAAGTGCAAGATTGTCTGGGTTGCTTTGTTCTGGAAAGAGAAATTTACTTGGTGGATAATTCTCGAACGAAATAACTTTCTAATGACTCAAGTTACTGCATGGTCGTTTTTATATTTTTAATAAAACCAATTTCTTCTTATATTAAATAAATTTTCCCCTGACTAGCGCTAAATGCGTGACAAATTTATGATCACGCATGTGTTTCTGCAAATATTTCATCCAAAATCACTTTTGCGGGACCGTCCCGCACGATGCGAGACGGTTGGTAACTATGTAAACGTCTACATAGGCCTAGGCCTATATGTTATTTAGACCAAAAAGTGTTGGGGTACCCATAGAATATACGGTCCGTAGGCTTATCTGTGACGAATCCTGGAATTCGTAATAGGGCGGGCTCAGGGAGGTATTTTCTCATATGGATCCAAGGTATCCGACCAGTTCAGACTTAACGTACTCACGCGAATAAGCGTCCGGGCTCTTAAAATATTTTTTACACTTTGTGAGGGGCGCCTATCAAACGGGGCGCTTATGAAAATAGAGTGGAAATTAAGGGGGTGCTTATGGAAATAGCTGAAAATCGAGGGGTTTTTATGGGAACTTATTAAATTCTCTAAGAGGAACTTTTTGAATGAAAAAAGATTACAGTATTACGAATGGTGGTGCGGGGAAAAAAATAATAGAACAATGACAAGTAAGGATGCTGTGAATATTTACATAACAGCAGCAGATGCAATTAGTGGTGGTGACCGGGTGGGTAGTGGTTAGCTTGATGGCCATCGGCCGTTTGAGATTAGCAGGATGGCAGGATGATTGCAGGTATTCTTGAAAACTGAGATAAGAATGTGTTAAAGGTGCAAGAAAGTATAATACATACTCCAAGTATTGAAATACACGCCATCGTGTTGGGATTCAATATTTCGACATTAATTATGTCATCATCAGGAATTAAAGGTGCAAATTGTCGGAAAATCTAGACCTAGACAAATGTAAGAAGAGGAAATTTGGAAATACACTGTCTGTCCAGGGATCAGAGCTCGTCATCTGTCCAGGAGAAATATCCTCATTTTGATATTGACCTAAGAAGAATGTGATTCCACTCTGCAGCTCAAATCATGCCAACTTGAACCACAGTCCCAGGAATTGACTTGCTAAAAGGAAAATATTATGATATTCGAGAAGGGCAAATGGGGCGCTTATTCGCCCGAGTACGGTATGTACAAGACAAAGATCTTATAAACAATAAGATCTTATAAGATTTCTTATTGATGATCCAAAAATTTATAAATGAGTAAACTTACGTTTTTATTCTCTAACTTTCGCTGGTTTTCAACACAGATCTTAAGATCTTTGGTACAAGATTACCATAACCGATGATGGCGCTATATATACTAAATTTAACGCCAGAAACCAAAGATCGTATATAGCGGCGCTATACAATCTTTGCCAGAAACTTTATGCCGGTGATTATGATTATTATGACTTATTGATTTCGGAAAGTAGGCTAGGCTTGATTGTCTGTCCTCTACTTCCGAACATGTGGTTCTGTTTCAACATATACTAAAAGGTCTACCATTGATTGTAGAATAGACAAATATTTGTAAAGTATTAATGTACAATTACTAACGAGAGAGTTTTAATTACCGTGTTTCCTATCGGTATCGGTAGGCCTAGTAGCAGCACACTGCATCGCTAGGTAGGAAGAACTGATACTTTCTCCTTGTGAGTAGCAGTATATCAACCAGTTTGAGCTTAAAATTGCAGGGTCTAGCCTAGGCCTACTTTCATCCTATGTTGAAGACTTTTATTTAAGTTGGTAGAAGAAATGGCTGGCTCTGAGCCTTCCAAGGGACTCTTAAGGTAAATTGATATTAATTTTCAATTTTTTAATAACATATGTTGGCACATGCACTTTTAGTCTTTATTACTCCACCCTTACCTTATTTCTCAATAGTTACAACATATCATTCACATTATATCTATAAACATACTTACATGATTTAACGAGCACAAAGTACCTTTTTTAACCATGTAAACATGTTTATTACCACATTGTTTTCTCATAGTCACAACTTATTATTATAAACATCTTTACATAATTCAACCACTCACAAAGTAGCATTCTTAACATAAAAATACCATTATAAATAACAGCGTTTGTGTGCTCGCTAGCACAACGAGCTGCTGCCATTTTGCAATCATTAATTAATTTCCAGAATGTTCACAATTCACAGTTTTATGTAATTAAACGTTATGGAAACTAGTTATGGTATTGTTTGATTATGAGATGAGATAAACATGTACAATAACTAAAACAAATAATAATGGTTCAGATGTGTTCATAGAAATAAAAATATTTAATATGGCATAATCCAGCAGAACAACTACCAGACCCTAAGGCTATGGCGGTTCGATGAACCTCAATTACAAGAACCTGACAGGTCGCTATAAAGAAACAGCGATGGTACTGTATAATATCGCATTTTGTTGTCAGATGTTTCATGGGAAAATTCTGATCCAAATTATTAGGCCATTCAATAGTTTCAAAATTTAAGAATTAAAAGAAAACCCAGACATTCTGGCAATTTATTACTGATTGCAAAATAGCAGCAGCTTGTCGTGCCAGCCTAGCCCTCTTGTCTAGCAATCTCAATCGCTGTATTTAAAAAGGTATTTTTTTGTTGAAAAAGGTACTTTTGTGACCTGTGAGTGGTTGAATAATGTCATGTTTTATAATTGGTATGTTAAAGCATGGACATATAAAAATAGATTGAAGTGACTGTAAGAAGTACATAAGGTACAAAAACGAAGAATTAAAAGTTAGGTGCGAAAGTGCATTAGTGCCTCTGTATGGACCAGTACCCTCTTCTCATCTCAAAAGATGTACTGGGTTCTTTAAAGTGCACATGAGCCAATTGTATACACTGGGCCTACGGTTCATAGTCTTTATCTGAGAAGACTTGTTCTACCTCCAGAACCAGGCGAGCGTGCTATTCGAACCGGTATTATGGCTGTATTGTAGGTTGTGGCGCCTCCTGTCTTAATCGCTCTGGCATTCAACTTGAATGGCTAGGCCTACTAGTAGTACAACTAGCCTAGCCAAAATCGAGGGCTTTTTCCTTTTATTGTTCTTTAAGTTGGAGGGTGGGGGCCTATGGAGTAGTGTTCTCCCATATTTAGGGCCCAGTATTTAACATGTAGCCAGATACAAAGTTAATTACAATTCACAAAGGAAAGTTACAATTCACATAACAATTTCCCCTTGACACTGCTGGTTCCAAAATGCTACCTGACAGTTTAATGAAGTTTTAAATCAGTTCATGGCCCAAATCTAGGTTGCATCCTTTTGTTTGCAACTGAAGGATTTAAAAAGGATGACATGTACTGTAAAGATTAATTAGACTGTTGAGTCTGCCCATTGTTATACAGTACAAAGTACTTTGAATTTAACTCTGCTGTGTCTCATCATTAGATTTTTCCACATCTGTTCATTGTTGTTATAATTTCACATATTTTGTATATTTTTTGTTTTTAAATGTCAGAAGTTAGGCAATGAATACAAGTTCTTTAATATATTTTAATTTTTAATAATAATAATGATAATGATGATAATAATAATAATAATAATAATAATAATAATATATTTATACTCTTATAGTGCATAAAGCTAAGGATAAGCTCTCCGCTTCACATTATTGTTAACCCCCAGTCGTCAAATTAAACACCTATGGAACACAAATAAAGCTCCCCCGGGGGCATATTCCATAAAGTTGCAGCTGCTAATCAGCACATTTGGCATTCTAACCCTAACAGGTAACCACTTATACTCCTAGGTGGAGAGAAGCAATGCAGATACAAATTTTTGCTCGAGGACACAAGTGAATGCACAGTGAGAGATTAAAACGCAGACATCAGGGTTGGGAAACCAATCCGCTCCAATTTGAACCACTTTCTGGCTTTTAATTTTTTTTGTATCAACATTTTTTTATTCTATTTTGCTTCTATCAACATTTCAAATATATTTTATGAATTATCAAGTATGCCAGAATTTCTTTGTACTGTATTTTCAAAGACAATAAATTTTATTATATCTTGTACCCAAATGGCTTAAATTATTTTCGATATCTCAGTATTCCAATTAAACTATGATCATCTTTGGTTTTATCATGGATACATTGTTCTTCTTCCATAGTCGAGGAAGATGTGTGTTCTTTGCTTGCATCATCCTTGTGTTAATTGTTACGTATCTTGCAATGGTTGTTTCGGAGACAGGCAGCTCTACGATTCCTGTACAATTTCAAAGCAATATCCGTAAAAGGTAAAAGCATCGGTTTTATTGGAATGTTGAGCATAGATTTCAGGCAAGCCATTGGTAACAGTTAACTGTACTTACTGTATGAGGATTTACCAATTAACCTATCTGTGTACAATACTGCACAGTACCATTATTTCTTTTCCATCTATCTACAGTAATTATATACATTTCAATATTGGTCCATCATCTACAGTACCAGACTTTATTTACAGGTAATAGTAATAATAATTATAATAATTTTCACTATATCGGGAACTGCTCTATCTTCTTCTACAGTATTTATTATCTTTGGTTTGCATGTCGAAGTAATAATATGTTAAATAATTAAATTAAATAATCAGGAGAATAATATCAATTGAAACATCAAGACATTCTCAACAAAACAACAGTTCTTTTCAGAACTATCTACGTGTTGTACCGCAAGGATTTTAAAATTATCAGAGACTCCTAAAAACTCCCAATCTAGACGATAAGATATATATATGATTTCACTCTATTTTGTTCTCAATACCCTTGAGCAACCCATCTTTATTCTCTTTTTTTTCCCAGTATACATTTCATACAACACTTGTTCTTGTTGTAGACTGTGTATTTACATTCATTCATATATAAACACCCATACATTCATATACATATACATTATAATTATGTACATGCACATTATATAAACATTTACATATTTAGTAAGTAAAATTGGTTTACAGAACATTATGTTTACAGTTTATTCAGCATATACAAACATTTTCAGTCTTTTTTTTGCAAGCTAAACTGTGGTACTTTTATGATATGTTTAATGATATGTACTTTACCATACCATATTTTATTCCAATTCATCTCTTCATTATTAAATTCTATGGTTGGGTTATATTCACTGTGTATTCTATGGGGTACATGTAGTGTTTGGGGGTAAATTTCCATTTCCCCGGGTCTGGACTTAACAACTTTTTAATCCAGCTCAATTTTAGTGATTTTACTATTGAATTTAAATGTGTCATGTTAAGACCACCCTCATCAGTTTTCCTAATAAGCGTTTTTCTCTTTATTTTCTCGCGTTGATTTCCCCACAGAAATCTATAAACGATTATTTCCAACTTTGGATATACATAAAATTAAATGGGTACATTTATGATAATGGCATTATAAGCTATTTTAGAAATGGCAAGAGTTTTAATTATGGTTACTTTGCCAAAAAAAGAGAGATTTCGTTTTTCCCATAGTTTTAAAATATTTTGTAAATCAATAATCTTGTCTTCCCAGTTCTTTTTTTTACATATTTGTTTGTCATATCCAACAAAAATTCCAAGGAACTTGACTGGTTCCTTCGTCCATGTAATGTTATAAGGGGTTGCTACATTGTCTTTATTAGAACCGATCCAGACACCTTTTGTTTTTTCTTTGTTCAACTTTAAGCCTGATATTTCACAAAATAATTCTATTTCACTAAAGAAATATTTCAAACTAGTTTCATCAATCAGTCATCAATTTTTGGTAGTTTCGATTCCCTTGCATAAAGGATTATCTTCTATTAATTGCCGTTATTTCAACAACTAATATAAATAGTAAGGCTGATAATGAGCATTCTTGCCGTACCCCACAGTTCATTTTAAACCTTTCAGAAATCCACCCATTATTTGTTACCATACATTCTGTATCATTATATATTACTTTAATCCAATTTATCAATGATGCCCCAAAGCCATATTTTTTTAGAGTTTTAAATATCAGGCTTCTATCTATCAAATCAAAAGCTTTTGCAAAATCTAAAAATATCATTGTGCCTGGTTTGTTCTTATCGCTTGTGTAAGAAAGTATGTCTTCTACTAATTTTACATTTTCCCCTCCAAATCTACCATTTATATAACCTTTCTGGTCAAAATTAATGACTGAGCTAATTACTTTTTGAATTCTGTTAGAGAGAGCGTGGGCCATTATTTTGTAATCTACGTTGAGTAGGGTGATTGGTCTCCAGTTCTCTAATTTTTCTCTTTGACCATTTTTAAATAATAAATTAATAATAACCGTTTTTTGTGTGTTTGTTAATTTCTTGTTTTCGTAACTATGATTAAAAGAATTGCATAAAGTGTCTAAATAATGTAATCCCAGAATGTTTGATAAAATTCTACACTCAAGCCATCAGATCCTGGACTTTAATTGAGTTGCATTTTAAAAACTGTGATTGAAAGTTCATCGACATTATTAAACCTTCACATTCAGTACTATACTCCTTTGAAAGTTTTAACTCTAGATTTTTCTAGATATTTATCAATCTTATTCTGTGAGGTTTCTTTTTCTGAATACAAGTGTGTATAGAAATTAACTTGTTCTTTTAATATTTTGTCTTTATCTGATGTGTATTTTCGATTGTTTTTTAGTATCGCGGTAATATGTTTTCTTTTTGCTTTATTTTTCTCTAACCCTAAAAAGAATTTGTTGTTTTTTTCACCTTTTTCGAACCATTTTGTTCTAGATCGAATTTTTGCTCCAAGTGCCTCAATCGAGTATATCTCATCTAAGTCTTTTAATTTACTTATCATTTGTCTATCGTTTTCTTCATCGTAAACAAGATCTAGTTTGTTGGTTAGTTTATTCAATTCTTTAAGTATTTTTTCTTTATTAATGTTTCTTTTCCGTTTTTTTTCCCACACCATACTTACAAGAAAATCCTTTAATTTTTACCTTTAAGTATTCCCATAAAAGGTCTGGACTTAATTTATGCTTATTTATTTTTGTATTTTCAATTATTTTTATTACATTCGCTGCATATATATAATTGTCACTTAATATGCTATTATTGATTTTCCATATTCCTGGTCCTTCTGTTTGTACATCATTTAGTATTTTTAGAGATATGGCTTGGTGATTGGAGAAGATGGGATATGTTTTCGAATATTTTATAGATATTTATGCTCATTACAATGCCGTATCCATTTTAAATAATTTCAGAATGTAACGTTATGCATTAAGACCCCCCACCAAGGCTCTGTCCCTGGGTCCGATCAGGTGCCTTTGGGCCCAGCAGTTATCTTGAACTGGGGCCCGTCACCAACTAGCTACGCTGCTGGGTGTTGAGGAAAGGAGGATTTAATTTTGAGGATATTATAATGTTTCATGGGTTTTTCGTTTACTACAGGGTTCAATCTGGTATTCCTGCAAGGGATTATTTAACCTGAATTAGCTTGCCTGTTGAAGCGTGTCTCCACCTCGTTAATTGAAATCTCTATTGATCCTATTTATATTCATGAGTCTCAATTGTAACTAGTTCTCTAACGTTGCAGATTTATTTTAGAAAAAACCTTCACTGCTTCATTTTTACTGTTCTCCTTTATAATAATAGACCTATTATTATTATTATTATTATTATTATTATTATAAATATTATTATTGTTATTATTATTATTATCAATTTGAATGATAATTATAATTTTTTTTTGTGTTTTCTAAATCAAGAGGAAAATGGAAAATAGCAATCAATTTTATTGTCCTTACTTCTAAAATCATTAGACTGAAATATTGAAATATCAATATGTACAGTACTTATTACCACACATCACTACCAGCTGTTGATCTATTGATTATTGTCTGGCTTATTAACATTTTTTAACATGTGGCACTAGCTATGTTCAGATGGTAATTTACTATTTATGATAGAAAGCATGAAGCTGATTCTCTTCGATTGTTTATTGTTCATTATTTAGACAAGGGGAAAAAAGGCAGGGCCTGCCTAGGTTGGTACATACAGTGCATACACATTTTCAATTGCATCCGCTTTTAATTGGATTTATCTAAATTTAGCTATTTAACTAAATTGTATTTTGAAGTATTGAACTTGAACACATATGATTAATAATAATGATAATGTGAACATTTTAATTTATATTCATATCATACATATTATCAACGTTCTAATGCACTTTGCTTTATTTGAATTTTCTTCAGTTTTGCCAGATTTGCAAATGGAACAATAAATAATTTCAATAGAATAGTAGATTCTACATTTAAATATCGAGATCCACAACGTAAAGAGTACACACAACCAAAGGTAGACAGCGGTATCCGAGCATTTGCTCAAAATCTCACCGTCTTACCAACAACTGCGTCTAGCCTTCCAACCGAAGAATCAATTCCAGATTTTGTGCCAAAATTTCTAGTCAAGAAGGAACCGGATGAAAATGATGAGTATGCAAGTGAGAAGGTGTATTACCATGACAACCAGTATTTACAATATCTTGTAAGTAGTGACTAATTTACTTGAGAAAAACAATGATGGTATCGTCCTTTATAAACATCATGTTATGGTATTGGAACCAAAGAGTGTAGAAGCAAAAGAGAGCACAGTATGCTCCCTGTTTCAGTTTCTTTTATTTACATCAAAATCACAGGCTGAATTACATGATATTAACAAAAAATATACACTAAAACATCAAAACATCAATCAAGTACAAGCACAAGACATGAAAAATTGATATAAAAAAAGTAACATAAAATACATTAAAATTTGAAAGGCCAGAAATTTACAAAAAGATGAAAAAACATATACATAATTAAATAAATTATATTTATTATTAGTTATATTATCATCATTATTACGGTATTATTTATTACTTTATTGTATTATTAATTATTGTATCATTGTTATTATCAAATATACAAATTGATATTGACATTGTGACCTATAACTAAAATTTATTAATATATTTTTAATAATAAACACAAGAATCCTGCTACAGGCCCAGGCCCCCACTTTTTGGCAGAAAATATATAATGTCTATGGAGATTTTTGATAAGAAAGAGGGGAGAGGGAGGGAAATGGAGTGTTTATCCAGTCCCCGACCGAGTTAGATTTTCTCGCAATTCACATTGGCGGATCTGGGGTGGGGGCAGGGGTCCTGCTTTATAGGTAAAAAAAAAAAATAATAATTAAAAAAATAGAATTCTAGACCTTTCTTTTCAGGACCTGTGAGCTGAATTTTTGTTTTTGTTACAATAAGAAAGTTAGAAGTCGGGAAAGCTCATTTCCTGCCATCTAGGAATCAGAATTTTCCCCCGGCCCTCCCTTTCCCTTTGGGGTTTATCAATTCATGGAAAAAAGAATATGTATGCAACTACTCAAATTTTTTTATATACACACATAACAAGCCTGTTGACTGTAATAAGAATGAGTTTACCTGACCATTTTCAAGAGGGGAAAACCTTGAATTTTGAAGAAGTCAATAAAAGGACACATAGCTCAAAAGTCGAGAAAGCTCACTTCCCGCCATCTAGGAATCAACATTTTCCCGGGTCCCCTTCCTTTTTGGGGTTTTTGGGAAAAATTTTGACCCCCACCACCTAAATTTGAACCCAGATCCCACTGATTCAAATTCCCATTCATCTTACTAGTGGCGCCCCCTTCCCCCACTGAAAAATGTTCCGCCGGCCCTGTATTTAACAGTCTTTACCAGACCACAAAAATAATCTACTCTTAACAATTTTAAAAATTTCAACTTAATTATGATAATTTTTAAGTACAGTTTATTTTGTGGTATCTTTTGCTTCTATTTGGTTTCCAGCTTTTCTTTCTGTTTTATTTATAGTTGTCTTTTTTATGTAAGAATGTTCTTCTGTTTTAAAAGAAAGAATTTATGTATTGCTGGTGTACTGTAGGTCACAACAATTAGGTACAGCAGCTGTATAATTTTCAGAAACAGGAACTTCCTATTTCAATTAACAAAAAGTATTTAACCAGTGCATCATCCCGGTTTGAGTTTATGAGCCCAAAACATTATAGAAAATAGGGGGGGAAATCTAGCAGTATGGCTACATGTAAAGAATAAATTATTAGGAGTGGCTTGATTTAAAACTATTGTCAGCAATGTTAGAGAAGCTACATGGTCAGAATAAAACCAGGACAGGCGAGAATAATATTATATTATTTTTACTAGGATTGTACTGTATAGGAAAATTATTCTGGTGCAGTATGTACTGTAAAATTGTATAAGGGAAGGTAGATGATAGTTTTGTTTAAGAGAATTGTTATAGGATACCACAACTCCCTGGTTTAATGAAATCTCAGAGAATTGGCTATGAAAAATCTAAAGATTTATATCTTTAAAGATATTAACTTCCTTGATTTTCCTCACTTTTGAATAACATCAATATTTTTATAATTACACTTATTTCAAAGCCTACAACGCCACACAATGCAAAATGGATGTCCTCAATAGATGTTTGGGATTGGAAACCTAATGATCTGAGAAACTGTAACAACATGATAGATAATCTTGATCTTAAGAAGTGAATATCAATCCATATCGGATTAATTGTGAGAAAATAAGGACTATACCAACATAGTTTTTTACTGGACTGGTACCTGTTTCCTGACCATGTGTTGATGTTGAAATACGGTACTTCTGCATTTCATATCCGTGTCTCAGTCAGTTTTTTTGCGCTTTTATATGGAATGCCAAAAGGGCAACTTTCTTTAATACATAGTCGATATTCGTCAAGTACTCTCAGTTTTTGGTTTCTCAATGAGTAGAACTTTGCTTTACCTGCCCCTGACAAAAAATATGTTGTACTGAAGGCCTTATGGCAAATCGTGTAAATTTTAATACAAGATTTTTGTCCAGCACAGTCGGTTTTTATTTTCTCCATGAGTTACAGTAAAACTTCTGCTTTAGATGTCCCTGACAAAAATATTGCAAATCATTTTAATTTTAGTTATAAAGCAAGCAGAAACTTTTTCAAAGGAAAATGATAGAGAAAATTTTAGTGGTTTCTACATATTTTTTAAATGCAGCGCTAATTGTCGAAATCCATAAAGCCTGCTTTGTGTAAGTCATAAAAACATGATCTAACCACTGCTTTTCTGACTTAACATAACTAAACATTCACATACTAGAAAGCAAGCCCACCATCTGTTATGTAAATCTCTGTTGACTAACTATGTTCTTTATTAACATAGTTAGTCAACAGAGATTTACATAACAGATGGTTATGTAAATCTCTGTTGACTAACTATGTTCTTTATTAACACAAAGGCAAACACGATGTCCTTGACAAATTTTTTGAATTTAGTTTCTGTATTTCTGATTTTCTTTTTTTAACTTAAACCATAATTTGGGACCCCTGAATTGGTATAGTCTACTGTATGTCGGCATATTTTAGTTAGAAGAGATTTGTGATTGTCACAGGATTTAAAGCCCTCATATTGACAGAGTGGAAGGCATAATATATAATATTATTATATCTTAACCAACAAGATTCAACTCCAGTAATATATTACTATCAATACTTTTCTTACATGCAAATAATATGGGAAATTTTTAGAAAAAAATTATAAATTATTATTTATATAGAAGAATGTTATTGGATGATTTTATCCTTGCCTGCCAGTACATTGCTGCACAATAATTAGAATAGACACATCTGTTTAATAATGCATTTTAGTGTTAGTGTACAGATGTGATCATGATAGTAATATCCAATCCAACTCAGCCTAGAATAACCTTTCCGGTGTTTACTAAGTAAACATGGCTCTACTTGTGTACAGTTAATTAATGCCAGTGTGTACAGTATAGGGCTGACTCTTCACATTGTTACTATTTAAATTAGAATCACACCTGTTACTAATACTGTCAGAACATGTTAGCTAGTTTTATTGCCATACCAGTTGTGACACAGTGTTAAGGGTTTATTCTTAAATCTGAAGGTTGTTGGTTCAATTTCTGTATAGTAATCAAAATAGAATTAATAAAGAAAGCTCATTTAATCAGATCAACTTTGGACTCCTGCCATCCCATATCAATGGCAGCACTAGATCCGGGGAACAGGACCTCCTCAGGGAACTCTGAGGAAGCCAATTTTTCATTTGAGAACACTGCTTTGAAAAAGCATTTTTACAGTCTAAGCCATTTTCATGTCTTTCTTGAAATTTGCTTACCTTAGCCATAAGCATAAGCAACAGAGGGGACAGGATTGGTGTTGGACCTTGGACCATCATCAGTGAATCTGTGGTGGTGCAATTGTCCCATATTGTTCATGGACTACTGTATAATCTTATTGGGAAATGAAATGCTAATTGAAGAAGTTATGAATACCTAAAATTACTATCCCACTTGACAATGATTAAACTGAATACAGCCTGGCAGCGTTCCTGCGCAATTTGTAGCGTGCTCTGAGACAATAGAGCCATATAACTTATGTATTTTATTATTTATTTATTGGGCTTTACACTAACAAAAAAATTGGAACCGCACCACAGTAGCCAATAGAGAAGGTAAACAGGTGCAAAGCACCTCTAAAAATATCCCAAACCATATTATTGGATTGTTCATAACCGCAGGAAAAAAAATAGACTCTAGTATTTTTATAAATACTCGTCACCAAAGACTGCTTGCGAAATAAATTTGTCAATAAATAACTGCTTTTCTTAATTCATTCATGAATTTTTTATACAAATTTAGTAGGCAATAAGATATCTCATTATTTCAGCTGACATTTATTTTTAAAATATTGATCTTTGTTCTCTTGACAACCACTGTTGAACAATATAGTGTACTGGAGACATTGCGCATTTCACTGCAGAACTATTTATTTTTAAAAATATATATTGTGCTATATACTGTACAGGCAACATTTTGGTACTGAAGGCTTTATCAAGATTGATAATACACAAAGTTATTTTTCAGGCCTGAATTAAATACACACATTCAATAAAAAAACAAAAGCAAAAGTTAAAAAAAAAGCATAGATTGGACTTATTATTAGTCCATCCATTCAACTTCTTTTAAAATTAAATCATCCAAATGCATTTCTGGAAGAGCTTAAGAACACAAAGTTACTCCCTTCAGTTATTCAAAACATGGCAGAAAATTCATCTTTTTGAAAGTTGTTCTGATCATCTGTGAACTGTTTAGTTGCAACTTGTATAGATTTTTTTGTGTGTGTGTGGTGTTTTTATTAAGCGCCCTTGAGGTTGTTACAACAGGGGTGCTATAAAAATCAATTATTATTGTTATTCTTATTGATGTATGTACTATGTCATCATCTGGAATGAAAAGTTATCCATATTTGCAAGCTTATAATATGCACAAGTACCAAAAGTGTTTAAGCAATCAAAACATTACCTCTGTTTATGGTGACATAGCGATGAATGAACCAAGGCCTAAAAAAGAAAAATGTTATGTTGGCGTAACCCAACCGACCCTAAAAAATCGGCCAACCCTAGACATTTTTATTTAAATTTCATGATACAAGTTTACGTGAGCAAAGTGGGCATGGTCGTGCATCACTCAAAATGTTTCAAAAATATGACAATTATCGGCTTCAAAGGCTTATTTAATTGATTTTATAGATTTCAAGGCTTTTTCTAAATATTGTGGTAGTTAAAAAAAGAAAAATCCCTACCTACCCACCCTATTTTTTGGGGCCTGTTGTGCCAACATAACATATTTTTTTAAAGACCTAATGATAGTTGTCATAGCTATGTCACCTACTAGTTTTCATGAAATTCATGTCATATATCACAAAATTTGATTCCATGTTTTATTTTTATGCCTTACCTATTACATAAGAAAATGTTGTTGTCAAACAATTAAGGAGTGTACGATTGTTGTTTGATATTTAAACATTAGCAAATAAAAATTGAATTTAAAAATAATGTTTCTGATATATTTTTCCAGAAATGCCCAACAAGTGTACGCCGGAAAATGATGACTATGCCAGAGATGCAGTCAAAATACATTGTAGATATTCCTGTACTTATGTGGAGTAAACATTTCTCAAACTCTGAATTCCAAAGGTTAAATAAATTTAGAGGAATAAATGGATTTGATGATGTTGATACAGATGGTAGGTGGTATTATACCTTTGTTCAACATACATAAATTTGAAATACACCTAATTATTATTATTTTTAATGCTATTGTTATTGTTATTATTATTGATGCAGACAGTATATCATTTAGTACTGTATTGTCAGGGGCGGATCCAGGATTTGAAAGAGGGGGGTTCAAAACGTTTACAAAAATACCCAAAATTTCCCCCTTGAATCCGCCACTGTATAACTAACGCTCAGGTGACCTAGGGTTTTAAAACACATACCGTATATACTTGCGTATAGTAGGACGAGGCTTAAAATAGCAAATTACGATAAAAAAAAGAGTGTCGTCGTATATGCATGACATTCAGATTTTAGATTTTTATAATCATGTTCGTCTTAGGTGCGGATCGTCCATAACACGCGAACTTACTACTGTAATGAAGCAACTAAATGTTGTATGAATGAAAGCAATTTTAAATACGGGAAAATATGGTGAAGATTTAAAAACTCATAAAATGATATTATTTGGAAGATTACCCTTGCATTTGGCTCCATTTATCCAGCTAGATGCAGTATCAGGACCAGAAAAAATTAGGAATTCCGACCATGAAACAGGCAGTCGTCTTATACGCCAGACATACAAATATCAACCAAAAATCTTCTAAAACTCGGAAGTTCGGGTTCCAGTCACATAATCAACGGTTGGTTGTAACAATAAACTCGCAAGACTGCTTGCGACTACCCGATTCTACAAGTGCATGGTTGGTTGGGTTGTTTTGGTTGGGTTGTTTTGGTTGGAAAGGAGAAACTTTGTCTGTGAATTGATTCTCGAACAAGATAATGAAAGCTCTCTAATGACTCAAGCTACTGTATGACCGTTTTTATAATTTTAATAAAACCAATTTCTTCTATAATTTCAAATACATTTTCCCCTGAATTTGTGATAATTCGTTGTCATGCAAGTGCTAAATATTTTGTTTAAAATTCAAGATATTCAGAACAAACTATGGTCAAGTCATACATATGTTATCGTTTAGGGCCTATTAGGCATTTCATGAATCAATGATATATTATAATATTGACAACATCAATAGAACATGTATAGGTGGAATTTTGTCCAACACGTGAAAATGTAATGAATACTCAGTGCGTGTGAAAACACAAAAATTAGTACTTGCTGCTTACTTGGGCTCGAATTCAACCCTGGCCATCAGATGCAAGCTCGGTGGTCTAGAGGTATGATGCCTGGCTAGTGATCTGGAGAACTGGAGAATGTGGGTTCGAGTCCCACTGGAGAACAACTTGCAAACATTTTTTGGGCAGGTTTGGCAAAATTACACATATAAGCCCCCTAATTGATTCTCCTGTGCAAGTCCAGGTACCTGTATTGTCTATTCCATCACGTTAATAACAATAATAGAACAGTCATCGACCTACTTGCAGTGAAGTGAATCTAAAATGTATTCATGACGTTATGATGATCTGAAGTGTTTAAAAATGTACACAATAATAGTTGAACCAACTTTAAAATACCACAAACAAAAATGTGCGTGACAATATTTTATTGCTTTAGAAATGCGATTTCAAAAAGTACATTAGTGCATCGAATACGTAAGGGCTTGTTTTGTTGTGTTTTTTTTTTTTTTAACTTGCTGTGTTTGGAAATAGGTAATAGGTAAATTGTAATGAACATAATAAAAAATTATAGCCTCTAAAACCTAATATTATTGTTATTGAAGGGTCCATTAAAGTTTGAATAGGATTTTTTTAAAGTTATATTTTTAGTTCATTATTATTATAGTCTCTTTGTAGTCTGTTCTGGTTTTAGTGATTATCCTACTTACTTTGAGGTATTCTAGGCACTATATATGAATGATGATGATTATTATTATTAATTTATTTTTTTAATGTTATTATTATTATCATATTATTATTATTGTTTTGTTGTTATGTCAATACAGCTAAAACTATTTATACAGGGGTAAAGGTAATAAAAAACAAAATGCACACGGTTATCCTATATCATAACCCAATTTTATATACTGTATACTGTGTGTCCAGAAGTCCCAAGGCTCCAGCAAGTCGCAGTTGTCTCCCGGAAATCTGTACGCTCTCCCGCAAGCAAGCAGTATTTCCTGGAATAAAACCAATCACCCGTGAATTCATAATATGTTTGTACTTGTTTATTATCAAATTTTGTCTCACAGAATTCAGTGCTAATGCGCATCACCATATATGCAGCAAAATGAAATTTTATTTTAAAGCTCAAATTTTAACCAGATTTCTTGGGACCACTGTATATCTACTGTCCTTTCTCCTATTAGATTCTTTTGCTGTTGATTCATTTCACATTCATTCATGACATTATCGTGCATGTTTCTGGGTAAGCCTAAAACACATCAAATACAATTGCTAAAAATAATACCTGTACACATAAATGAGTATATTTATATTATTAATCTCTCCGAGTCTGACTGTTTGGACTGTGCAGCATTGCTATGTCAGATTCAGTCACTACTAACACTTTGATTTGTGGTTTTCACCATCTATATAAAAAGGTCTTGGGCTCGAATCCTGGGAGATGCCTTTTTTTTTTTCATTCATTGTCAGATTACTTTCCAAATAGATTTCAATTAATACTCTTATATCTGTTACTACTACAGGTATGAGTACTGAAAGTTAAGCACAAATAAATATTGTGTAGACTAGCCCTCTAGCGCATTCCGGACAGACCCGGGAATCAAATACATGTTTGCCTTTCTCATAGATGGTGATTGAAACAGTAGACTATGTTGTAATGCAAGCCAGTAAACACGAATATAACACCTATGTTAACAGTATTTAAACGTTAATGTTTTGTGCTTACAGATGTTCGTGGAACATTAGATGCGCTTTCCTCACCAAATAATCAATATATGTTCGATAAAAGAATGACAAATGGCAAACCAAATGGTGGGTGTATCACCTGTGCAGTTATCGGAAACGGAGGAATATTAAATGGTTCAAGGAAAGGCCAAGAAATTGATGCCCATGACTATGTGTTCAGGTAGATATTACGTATGTTACACAGTGTTCTCACAAAGGCGGGTTTACCAGCGTTATTTTCCACAACATCGGCTTGATATGCCTTTTTTTGTAAGAAATGAGGGAATGCATTAGCATGGGGAAGGGTGGGGGATAAAATAAACTTCCACCCCAGGTACTCCTACCCTAACTCTAGAAATATTCTGACTTCGAAATATCCACTCATGTAAATTACTAAGTAGTAAAAAACAATGGTAGTGCCAGAAATTTTCTCACGAGTGGTCCGACACCCTAAAAAAAGCAAGTGTTACAATCAAAATCTCTGGCTTACCAGAGTTGGACAGTGGCCAAGGTTAAATACCTGGGTGCTATTGCATTCTGCACCACCCCTCTGCACCACCCCCCCCCCCCCCCCTTTCCACTTCTGACAACCTTGACCTTGCATTATTATGGTTATTAGTTGTTAAATTTACATGGAGGTCCTCTCTGACAAAACAGTTAATTTTATTATTTCTCCCAACCAGAACAAATGCACCTCATTCAACACCTTTATGTACATTTGTTAAAGGCAGGAAAGTGTGATAAAATTAATATCTTCTACATTCCATCAAGTACCTACACACTACTAAATTTCATTGCAGAAGAATTGTGTAGTGGGCTGATAAGTTTGTGCAGCCTCTGAACAAACTGGGGTGGATTTTAGGGTGTTAAGTAAGGTTGTTTTCACACAATGTAATTATGTTTTCTCAATGTAATTCTAATGTTTAAATTGTCATTTCTCTGGGGTGTTTTATTTTTTTTAAATTAATTTATTTTTTTTATATATACATACTTGTTTTTTTTTTTAATTCTTTATTGATATTTTTTATGTCTTTTGTGATTTAAATTTTTATCTTTATCATATTGTTTATTTTATGAGGGAGGGGGCAGCTGGCTTGAAAAAGTTATAGTGATTTGTTTGCTTAAGCTGCCCCCGACCATCTTTTGGTCAAATAAATAAACTGAAACTGAACTGAAAATGACAGTGGACCTTCCTGGAATGTCAATCAAACTTGACAACTGACCAGAACACAGGGGTCCCAAGTCTCCTGGAGCTCATGGGATTTTCCCGGAAATTGGGACGGTCTTCCACACTCCCGCAAGCAAGCAAGGGGCGTGGCTTAGTTGAAAGGTCTTCGCATTCTTTGACCATAGAATGCCAGTATGTTTTCACCCTCAACAAAGGCAGGTGGAAGAACCAGCATATATCTTGTACATCCTCTACTGAAGTCCGCACAAAATCAGTTGGAAGGTGGAAATTTTAAACTTTTATAGGCCCAGAATGATTTTACATATGTACCAAAAGCTAACCTTGAATTAGAAGAAAGAGGAATATCTGATGGGGCTTTTTGCAGCTTTATATGCTCATTAATCAAAGTGGTTGTTTTTAGAGTCAATCGCGCAGTTACTGAAGGTTTTGAAGAAGATGTTGGTAGACGTACATCTATATATTGTTTCACATTGATCACCTTGTTCAATTCCTTTAATCGACCACCGTATCAAAAGGTAATTCTATACAATTTTATACCTTTGCCGTGAAAACATTTTTGTTGGTATAGTAATCATTAAAAAATTGGTTTTTTAGGGTAAATACAGCATTAACAACAGGATTTGAGGAAGACGTTGGTAGACGCACATCTTTCTATTGTTTTACAATGATCACATTGTCAAACACTTTACGAGGAAGTAGACAATTTGGATTTCGTTCGCCCCCATATTATGAGGTTTGTAAATCGATGGTAGCCCTGAACTCACCTTAGCACTTGTGCTAACTCTCACACTTTCTTGGCCTCATAGTATCGCACTGCTTCCTTGCTTTATGCACAGAACTAATTATTTTCATAATTGTGATGTCTTGACTGTCATCTTCACATCAAATCGTACACATACAAATTGTTACTAGTTGTTACTAACTATTTTGCATAAGTGTGTACGTGTGAATAAGGATGTTAATGGACCTTTCCGAAGTGTCAATCAAGCCTAACAACTGACAAATCAGAACAGCATAGTGTTTTTTGGGACCTTAGCAACAATAACGAATGGGCGGGCCTTAGCGGAAAGGTCCATTCTGCTTCCAAACATGCTCTAGAAAAGCAGAATGATTGTAAGCACAGCTAAAGCCTATAAATCTCTTCCTGTTACCATCTTATTTTGTTTTGTTGCTGAATTTGCCAATCACTTTCAAGGTCAAAAATGTCATTGGTTGGTTGAAATCACATGGTCAAACCAGCCTGCTTAATATCTATGCATGTTCATTGTTGGTTCTTCCTTTTTGTGTTTATTTTTGTCTCTTTTTCTTCTCTAATATTGTATCTGTTGATGTTTGCATGCATGTTTGTATGTATAGGCTCAGTGGTTGCACTCAGTGTAAAATGAGTGAGAAATTATGCTTATTGTGAATTGATTATTGAAGATTTATTTAATGATAATGTAAAGCTCATAGAAACTCTTCTATTATATATATATATTCACCGAATAAATGCTAAATGTGGTCATTAGATGTACCATATTATGCTATAATAATTACATTCACATACTTTGCTCAATATATAACAATTTAATAACAATTAAACCGTAATGTTCATATATTTTCCAGTGTTTTTGGTAGGTCTACTTATTACAAAACCCAAATACATATAACTGAATATTTATTTACTAAAGTATAAAAAATGTAATGCCCATACTTAAATAATTGTGTAATGTCTGCACTAGAATTTATCAAATATGTAAAAAAATTTAAATGATACATCAACACATAAAAATGTAATGTGAATTAAGGCCAACATAATATACAAAGGGAATAATAAAAACACTTAGGCATATGCATGCTTCTATTGTAGATTTTGTAGAATTAAAGGAGCATAGTATACAAAGTAAATATGAGCAAAGAATTGTAAACAAGCAACACAAGTGGACACAGCTAAGCATATTGACACAAATAGGTGACGTGTACTAATTAATTGATTAGCTACCATGATATTATATGAGCCTGTGTCAACAACAAATACAGGCAAAAAGACACAAAATATATGAACAGTTTTGGGTTTTTGCAGTTTTTCATGTGTTCTGTTTATAATACAGATGATAAATTTCCCTTTTGTGAAAGCTATATAAAAAATACTAATACCTACTGAAAACTTTGCAACCTCTATTATATTCTATATTATATATACTCGCAGTCCTGTTGTCTAAACATTTTTGTCCATTATCTACGTCATCATCATCATCATCATCATTGTCATCATCATCATAAAAAAAAGACAGTAAATATCTGTTTTGTTTTATCCTCATCTGCCAAATTGTTACCCCAAATCAGATTATTTCCAGGGGTGTTTTTCCTATAAGTAAATCACAGGCAATCACAAGTATTTTTATAGCTCCTGATGATTCAATTTTTAACAGGCCAAAAGTTTATTGGCTTTTTCTGGCAATTTCTGTCTGTACGGCTTCAGTTGATGTATAACTTCACTTTTCAGGCTCTGTTGCTATTGTCCCTCTTCTCCATTGTCTCACTTTATATCATCATCGTAAACAACGTTACTACAGTACTGTGTGTTGTTAAGTATACATGCATGTGGTAAAATGTGTAGACGTCAATATTCCGCTGAATTTAAGTATATATAAAACCTCTGTGATTGTTGCTTTGATACAGTTCAAGTCTTCAGGGTCCCAAGTTGGGAGCAGTCACTTTATGTCATCATCATAAACAACGTTACTACAGTACTGTGTGTTGTTAAGTATACGTGCATGTGGTAAAATGTGTAGAACAGGGGTGGCACCAGGATTTGCCCGACGGGGGTGGGGGGCGAGGTACCCGACGGGGGAGCTGATTCCCCAGGCGAAGGGTCAGTTCCCAGACGAAAGCAAACTGGGCGTGGTCAAGCTTTGATTAAAAGGCTTCGAAAGTTGTCCAGGGGGCAAAGCTTCCGAAAATTTTGACAATTTAGGGGTTTCAAAGGTTTATTTAATCGATTTTAGAGTCACTAATATGTTGAAAATACACGTAATTTTTTTTTTCTCCCCGACGAATTATGCTTTTTCTCACCGATGGTGGGGTGGGGCCAGCTCTCCCCGACAGGGACTCTGGTGCCCTGGCTCCCCCGCTGGTGCCAACCCTGGTGTAGACGTTCCGTCGAAGTCAAGTATATATAAAACCTCTGATTGTTGCTTTGATACAGTTCTAAGTCTTCAGGCTCCCAAGTTTGGAGCTGTCACTTCTGTTAGATTTTGTTAAATGGGTTTCTTATTAACACATTTTGATTTTGTTTTTCTGTGCATGTTGATACTCATTGGCTCTGATTTCTGTGAGGCAATTAATTATATTAAAGTGTAAAATATGCAACTATTATATTATATGTTTTTGCGGAAGTTGGTTATTTTCTGGGAGATTCTTGCTTGTTTGCAGGAGACCGTCACAATTTCAGGGCGATGTGGAAGACTTGCATGTGAATGGTTGTTGAATATGTATTTGTTTTGGCCTAAAAATTATAGATGATGAATAATTTAGTGAAAGTGAGAATTTTGATCAAGTGGATGACTGGAAGGTTTAGATCCTCCCAGAGACACTTCCTGGTTTTTGTGCCAAAATAACATTATGATTTGACTTCACAATTTTTCTATGTCTTATAATGTACAGTTTGCACACCAATTCGAGACCACCTTTGGTCTTCACTTAGGGGGTTAAATTTGTGTTAAATGATTGAAGATTGTTATTTGGTTATTTGAAAAAGTCGCCTCGAATTAGAGGGGTCTTGGAATTTGTGGGGTTTCGAATTGGATGGTGCACTGTATTACATTACTTACAGTACTTGAGTCACTGGTTAGCATTTCGTATTGAATATTAGGCCTAATAAAATAAATTGTTTGTTTGCCCTTTAATGCTGAAAATTGTATAGGATGGTCGGGCACAAAAAAGTTTTTTTTTTTTTTTCTCCCATCACCGAAATTAACATGTAAAATCGCAATGCTTGCAATTAAGCCTGTCTCACTATTTGTTTTTCAAAGGGTATTCATCAAACTGAATAAATATAACCCATAATCAATACTTTTCAATGAATTTAAGCCTAGAATGCGCGATACCTTAAATCAGACACCAAATTTAGACAACTTTCATGTTCCAGATGGAGAAAAATAAAGATCACTTTTTAAAATTTGTGGACAAAAATGAAAAAAAAAAAACGCCTCCCCTGTTTTTTCCATGATCTAGGGGCAGCCGCTGGAGGAAAAACACAATTTTTTTAGGCCTTATATTTGTTGACATTTCATATTGTTTCATTGTATGAATTTTTTTTTTTGTAATATCTGAATATTACTTTTATGGTCCAATTTAATTTCTTCTGATTCATGGATTGTGATATAATATGGTTTGTATTATATTGGATATTGTATACTGATTTGTGTTTCATAGTATCACTTTATATTTAATATTTAATAGTATATTAATCACTAATTTGTACTAATGATATTATTTTGATCATGTCATATTCTGTTGATTATTTTCATTTTAGAGTATTGTCATATTGATGTTTTTACAATATAGGCTTTGAATATAAAGTATAGTACAATAGTTTAGTAAATAAGAATTTATAGCACAGTTCAACGGCTCATCAGCTGGTAATTTGAGCAGTATAAATTGAGAAACAATTCCTTACTCTCAAATAGTTAAGTGCGGAGTCCCCCAAGGTAGCATACTAGGACCGTTACTTTTTCTTATCTATATGAATGACATGGTTAGCAGTATTGATTCTGATTGTAAACTTCTGCTATATTTTATATTCCCATAAAGACCCAACTTCTGTCTCTAACAAATTGGTTAGCAGTATTGATTCTGATTTTAAACTTCTGCTATATTTTATATTCCCATAAAGACCCAATTTTTGTCTCTAACAAATTCAGTCAAAATATAGAACAATTTCAACGGGGGGTAGTTAATAACAAACTATCACTACATCTTGGAAAGATAGAAAGTACCCTGTTTGGAACAAAAAGAAAACTAAAAAATGTAAACAAACTAAATGTCATATGTGCACAAAATGTGATCGGAAAATAAACAGAATGTTAAATATTAGGTTTAGAAATGAACGAAAATCTTTCTGGTGACCCTGTTGCAAAGAATTTTATAGAAAAGTTTAACAATGGCCTAAAGTTCTTGTACAGACAATCTTCTCTACTAAACAACAGGTGCAAGAAACTGCGCTGCTCATCCCTTATCCAGCCTCTCTTTGACTACTCATCAGCTTCCTGGTATTTGGGTGTTGGCAAAACCTGACAAACTCCCAACTTATTCAAAATAAAATGGTTAGATTTATTAAAAACATGCCCCAGATCTCACATTAGACAAAAGGAGAGGGGCTGCCTAAGGTGTACGACAGAGGCAGCTACCTGCATCTACAGAATATTTTATAACCACCATCACCCTTGTACCTTTCAACTAACTTTGATTGGCTTAGTGACAGTCGCTATCACAAAACCAGAGGGAGCTCTTAAAATTTGTGGGTGCCAATCATTAAAGGTATTGCCTGCCAATCTTTCTTTTTCAATAGTATTAAAGAATAGAATGCTCTTCCCAAAGAAAAATTTTGCCAGACCAGGAGAACTTTTAAAAATAAGCTAGCTGAAAACATATCTTGCCAACACATCTTAATTAAATGTAAATACTCTTTTATATAGATTTTTTGTAAAGTAATTAATGATAAACTGCATAAAAAATTTCTTAATTTGTGCCTTTTTTAAATTTTAAAAAAAAATCTATTTTACTATTAGGATATTGTAGATAGGATGGGATGCCATTGGAATTAAGTGGTTTTCTCTACTTAATTGGTTTCACTTTATTACAATATTTATCTTTTTATTAACTTCTTTCACATAATGCTTTTTTAATTTCTATTGTTTTGTGGTGTATTTATATGTATTTTAAAGTGGAACCAAATAAATTCATATTAAATCAAATTAACATGAGCCATGTTTTACCATAGAGAAAACAAATGGCTTAAGCATGTCTACGAAAAACTGTATGTATATAAAATGGTGTACCTCACAGGGGGAGCAGGTTTATGGATATGAACCTGGACCCAATGATCTTCATGGTTCAGTGCGCACACAATGGTTACCACCAGTTTTAATCAACTATGATATGCTTTTTATATTTACCATTTTCCTGAGTAAGTACAGATTGATAAATAATAATTTTCATTTTATTTGCTTCAGGATATTAGATATTTATTTTTTGCGGATAGTGGATGGACATATGAATATTTGAATGCAGTGTTACATAACAAACCTGCTCCATTTAGTCGAGGAAAGTACCACCGGTAGGTATTGCGTGTAGCAAACCTCTTCATGAACTTATGTTATCTGTTTTTTACCTTATTTTTGTATAGTCACATTAAAGGGGCGTGTAGCTGGCCCGGTTTCCAACTTATCATCAGTTTTTGGATTGTTCACCCTCATTTACTGTGGTTCAAATGAAATAAAAAATTACATGTATTCTAGTTGTATTTTGAAGTGCTTACACAAAGTACATAATTGCTTTAATACAGCTGAATCATTGAAGTTCAGCATGAAAACAAAAATGTGGGTTTTCAGCCTTTTTTTGGGTGGGGGGGGGGAGGTAGGTTGTTGAAATAAATTAGTGTAGGGTAATTTTTCACTGAATCTTTACGAAGCAGGGGTTTTTTTTGTACCAAGGAGTATACATGTGACTATCCCATTATTTGAGTGCAACCAATGTGATAGCATATTTTATTGTTTTTATTTTTTAGCCATTTTTACTGATAAAAAAAGTGGCATTTGTCTAACAAGACTCGCCTTCAGTTGTTATTTTTAAGACCAAACTCACCTTTTTAACATCTAAACATGCCCAGTCCCTTTGATTTTTACTTCGGTTTAGTGATATTGGAGATTTTAAGTTATTATTATTATTATTTATTATTATTATTATTATTATTAAATAATCTGTTTACTTTTAACTACCTTCTAGGGGTCCACCACAGTTTCCTAAAGGAATAAATAAAGAAAACATAAAAGTCATACATCCTGATTTTGAACGGTATCTTAAATGGAGGTAAGAGAATATTGTTATTGGAAAGATTGGAGCTGTAAATTGGTGATAATATGCTGCTTGTTGCATTCCAGTCCTGTCAGTTGAAAGATATAGGCCAATGTCCGCCACTGAGTAGCAAGAGGTTACGCCATGATTGATTTGAGCAATTCAAAAGATTTTTTTTTTTTTACTGATTTTTAGGTTGCAGTTTAAATTATACTGGTTTGCATGTGTTTCTTTTGTTATATGGCGATATTAAAACATACTTATTTTATATATCTATGAACAGTTTTATCAGTAGTCTGGATTCGAGCCAGCCAGAATATACAACTGATTAAAAGAAAACATCATACAAAATTATTGGAACCATGTTTCTCTTTTTATTTGAGTATGTATGTTTAATTATAATTCATAATTGCTTTTGTTTCTACTTGAATAGTTGGGTGAATTCTAAACATCAACATAAAAATGTTCATCGTCCCACGACAGGAGCTATTATGTTATTGGCAGCTTTGCACACATGTGATCAGGTACGTCTAATTCTACTACCCTAAACACTACTGATGATAACAAAAAATACTCAAGTACCAACACTACTAGTCCACCATACTACTGCCACTGTTTTGTACCAACCCTAACTACCACCACCCTAATTTGGCCCCATGTCAATTCGGCCCCATGTAACTCAGCTCCAAGTCAACTCAGCCCCAATTATCTATGTATTTACAAAATAATAATTATCAAAAGACAAAGCCGAACTATTCTAAAAGTAAAGTGTTTTGAATCGCTGCCTTTGTTTTCCCTTTTTCATTTGCTTCCACCTAACAATAATAATACTAACTTCATTAAAAAAAATATTAAAATGATATTATCAACAATGTCAAATGTAATTTCTTATCCTAGTTGCCCTAGCTTTCTACTCTGTCTACAGCAGGGCCGCATAGAGCGGAAACTAACAGGGGCAAGGGTTGGTATTGACCTCCAGTTACGAGCGTGAAGGGCGAGAAAGATTGTGCCGAAAGCCTGTCAATCTGGAGGGGCCCATTATTAGGGGACCCATGCCATTGTTGAGGGGCTTTACTAAATGCACAAGATGGCTGTTGCAAGTTGTATAGGCTAACTGTACAATATAAACAATACAATTGTGATGTAGATGGATTATAGGCCAATTATTTAATAGTTTATGCTGTAATATACAATAGTGAAATCCGACAGAGATCAAAGCAGTCAAGTATTGGGATAATGGTCTAGAGATTAAGAGATCCTTAATTAAGCGTACATAGTAGAATAATATGGTGGGCAGACTTAACAACACTGAAAGTGAATAATTAGGAAATCTTAAAATGTAAATGTTAGAATACATGAATGAAAAATAAATTAATAGGCTTATAAATAGGCTTATACAATGAACATATATACATTATATATATATATATATGTGTGTGTGTATATATATATATATGTATATATGCATATATACATGTATATATGCATATATATATGTATATATGTATATATATATACACCTATATACATATAAGAATTACATTTTTTTTTCTTTTTACTGATTTTGTTTTCCATGTAACCCATTAAACATTTTAATACATAACAAAAGTAACAATTATCCAGATTTATGATACTATTTGATTTAATACGCATAAGGAATATTATAATTATGATACAGTATTATGTACATTATGTATATTTATATGCATTCATATAATTCAAATATACAGCAAAACATGTTATAACAATGTTAATTCAATCAATCAATTTCTTCAAAAACCTTATAAACAATTAAAAAATTTATAACAAAAACATTTTCTTAGGAATCGACAAATGCATAAACACATCAAAATACAATTGGAAATCAAACTATCAATATGTTTGGAACCCCAAAGACATGCCTATCTGCTATTCTTTCACAAACCAGCAAGTGCTGCTTCTGGTGCTTAACATATGTTTTGTTCAGAGTATTTCAATTTTTCAATTATTCTATCTTTCTTCCAGGTGGATATTTATGGCTTTGGAGGCAGCTATGACAAATTTTCAGAACATTATTACGACAAAAAATTTCAAAAGCATATATTTTTTGCAAACCACGACAATATTGCAGAAAATAACTTATGGGAGCAACTACATAAATTAGGAATTGTTAAAATGTATAAAAGAGATTAAAGAATCATTTGCTATCATTTATTTGTAACAGAGGGAAGACAAACGCTTATTGTGTGAAATGTAAATAACTGTGAGAAGGAAATTTATTGGGAAATAATCATTTTTAAAGAGGTATAGCAACTACTGTTATATTTAAAAGTTGATCAGTATGCTATGGTATGAAGATTTAAACAAATGTAACAGGAGGAGGAGTAAGTGGAAATAATTGTTACAGTGAGGCCGATTTTCCCGACGGGAGCAAAGTGGGTTAATTTAATTGATTTTAGAGTCTACTAATATGTAAAAAATGCAGTACTTATTTGTTTTCGGCAGGGGAGGGGGAACTCTCCTGGACGGCCTCTTCCCCCACCCACTGGCTCTTTCCCCCACCCACTGGCTCCACCCCTGCTCCCAAAAATGACCTCTGACCCCTGAAAACATGTGTCTCTAACAAGCACACGTATTGTCCCACAAATGCACATATTTGCGTATGTTTTAACACAGTTGTTTTGTGGGACCTTGGCAACAATATCTAAGGGGCGTGGCTTAGTGGAAAAGTCCTAGCATTCTTTGACCTTAGAATGTCAGTATGTTTTCACCTTAACAATGGGAAGTGGAAGAACAGCATATATCTTGTTCATCCTCAACTGAAGTCCACGCAAAATCAGTTGGAAGGTGGAAATTTGAGACTTTCACGTTGATCACCTTATTCAATATCTTTCGACAACCACTGTATCAAAGGAGATTAAGGGAGAAATAATTATTTTTGAAGGGGTGTATACTGTTATATTTAAAGGGAGATCAATACAATATTATGGTATGGTATGTTAAAGAGAGTGTAATATTATGGCATGATATGTTAAAGAGAGCAATATTATGGTATGGTGTGTTAAAGGGAGAGCAATATTATGGTATGATAATATATGGCAAAGACAAGCCAAACCAGTCACTCGTCGCAAAAATAGATTTTGAGATATTAATACAGGTTTAAAGAGTAAAATAAGAGCTATAAAATGGTAAAAAAATCATTCAAATCCGACATTTCCTTATGAAGTTACAAGCATTTAAACATACAGCTGTTTAAAGAACAGTATATCAGAAATCAGCCTTCAAAGTTTATGATTTCAGGCATTTCCCATGCAGAAACTATCATAAAATCATTAAAAAGTGTTGTTTTAACATTGAAATTGGGAAAAATTACAGCACAGCATGATATATAGATGCATAAACCTTAGTTTAGTGAAATAAAATAAATTTTTTAAAATTTTACATTCTAGCATGTTTTTGCTATTTTCTCTGAAACACAATTTGCGACAAGTGACTGGTTTGGTTTGTCTTTGCCACATATGTTAAAGGGAGAGCAATATTATGTTATGGTATGAAAAGATCAGCGATTAATTTTTGGAGGGGCGTGTGCACAATTAGATGCGCCACTGGTTCAACCATTGTTGTGCCTGAGGTACTAAATGTTATGGCATTTACACTCACAAACTTGTGTTTTAATGTATGTATATGCTTTCGCCCCAAACATACCCCCCTCTTTTTTTTTGTAATTTACAAAGGGAGGAGAGCCCATGACCCCCTGGTCCACCTTGAATCTTCCCCTAATGCTGGTAAATGACTAGGGTAATATTAACTAAGTTGACTGTTGATTCATTATTTTAAAAATACTAAAATCGTTTTCTTAGCAAATGTGATGTAAATTTTGTATGGAAACCTTCACAAATTTATTAAAACATGTATTTTGTCCGCAAAATCTTATGGAATAGCTTATGCATTGCATTATGGGTGAAAGTGAAATGGAGTTTTTTTTTCAGAATAGAGGCTTTATACTTGTATTTGAATATCCTTATTTCGAAATATATAGAGTGAATTTGCGTACTAAAAATTGTTCAGGTTATATAAAAGAAGAATATACAGTGGCATTTATAAAAATCAAATAAGTTAACACATTAGAGGAACATAATTTATCATAACAAATATTTTGCCCTGTCATTGGGACTTCCAATGTGAGAAAACTTTATACGTGATAGAACATTAAGCAATGTTACAAAGGGATAATGCAGAGTATATAGTAATTGTCTTTTAATGTATAGTCACTGGAAACATTGTTGATCTTAGTTTAGTCTTCCAGTTTCTTAATGTGAAGGATCTAACATAAATCTATGCGAAAGCTATATTTTATTGATTTATTTTCTTAGCCTAAGATGGTAAAATGTAGACTAGCATTTAAGTGACCTTGGGAGATTTGGATCCCAGTTGGGGAAACCTTCTTTTCGCACTTACAGATTCCTCTTTAACATTCAAAATTTATATATGATATATATATATACTGTCTCTTATACACATCTAGATGTGTATAAGAGACAGGTATAAAAGAGATTAAAGAATCATTTGCTATCATTTATTTGTAACAGAGGGAAGACAAACGCTTATTGTGTGAAATGTAAATAACTGTGTGAAGGAAATTTATTGGGAAATAATCATTTTTAAAGAGGTATAGCAACTACTGTTATATTTAAAAGTTGATCAGTATGCTATGGTATGAAGATTTAAACAAATGTAACAGGAGGAGGAGTAAGTGGAAATAATTGTTACAGTGAGGCCGATTTTCCCGACGGGAGCAAAGTGGGTTAATTTAATTGATTTTAGAGTCTACTAATATGTAAAAAATGCAGTACTTATTTGTTTTCGGCAGGGGAGGGGGAACTCTCCTGGACGGCCTCTTCCCCCACCCACTGGCTCTTTCCCCCACCCACTGGCTCCACCCCTGCTCCCAAAAATGACCTCTGACCCCTGAAAACATGTGTCTCTAACAAGCACACGTATTCAAGAGAAGTCTTTTGAAACTAAATAATACTCACACGGCTGGCTGGGGTAGATGGAATTCAAGTAGAGTTGCTCAAGTATAGAGCAAATACCCGAAACAGACACCCCCTCAATTGAAAAACTGAGACCTATCTCTCTCACCCCAACACTTGCAAAAATTGAGGAAAAAAGAGTTTCCAAATCAATAATTAAGGCAATTGAACCATTTATTGATTCACAGCAATATGGGAATCAAAAAGGTGTGTCGACGACCCACTGCTTGATAGATGTGTACCATAAACTAATATCGGAAGCAGAAAAACCTGGTAATGTCAGTACACTTGCTTTGACTGATTTTACCAAAGCTTTTGATGTAATTGATCATCGAGTGGCATTTAGTAGCCTCCTTAATATGAACGTATCTCCATCTATTTTGTATGTAGACGATGTAGATACTTGAATCACTACTCCGAATGGGAAGTTTGGAACTGTGGATTATCTGGAGCACAGATCCGTCGCCTTGCGAGGGTCCAAAAGCGCGCATGTCGCATTATTCTGGCACGTGAGTATGTGTCATACGAAAGTGCCCTAGCAACGCTCCTGTCTCTTATACACATCTAGATGTGTATAAGAGACAGTCTTAATCCCAGAATGCCTCAAATGTTATGTTCCGGCGTCTAGAACACAAACATTCGCGGGGGCATGCCCCGGACCCCCTACGACAGTGTTGTCTCAATCGGCCCAACTTTCGGCGCCCCCCTTCCGGGCTCCCCCCTTTTGAACATTTCTGGATCCGCCACTGCGTGAGTATGTTTCATACGAAACTGCCCTAGCAACGCTCGGGCTGGAGTCGCTCCCTGACCGCAGGTCCCCTATCTGCAGAAAGTTTGCCCAGAAATCAGTTATTAATCACAGGTTTCGTCATTGGTTCCAACCCTCCAATAATATCTCATCAATGTGTCTCCGTAATCCCAGAAAATCTGAAACTTTTATTCCTAGAACAGAAAGGTTTAGAAATAGCCCTATACTCTTTCTCACCAAACTTCTTAATCAAATAAATTAATCCATTCCTAGGTGTCCTTTCTGCGAGAGTGTTGACTTGTGCTCCGGGGGCGGATCCCGTCCCGGGTGGTGTTTCGGTTTAATATTACTTTAAGTTTCATTAGTTTGTTTTTGAATTTTTTTTTTTTTTTTTTTTAAATCGGAAATTTTAATGTTTGGGCATATTAATTAATGTCAAAATTTTTAAATAACAATTGTAACTAATTAAAATAATAATAATATTGACTATTATAATTGATCTTTATAATGATAATGACTTATTGTAAATTTAATTCAGGTTTTCTATTTTGTAAATTGAATCCCCAATTCAGCCTCTGGCTGCTAAGGATTTGATATTGTAGTTGTTTTGTTTTGAATTTATGAATAACGATATCGAGATATATATATAATGCAGTGTTTCAACACCATAAAACAATGGAATTCTAATTACGCTTCAAAACCGGGAAAGAAAATGGACCAGTGGGAAACCTGAGACCGGTAATTTTGCTCAACACTATTAGGAAATGCCTGTCACGTTAGAAAGAATAAATAGTAAAGTCGACCAATAAACAGTTGGTAACATTTATGGTAACGGTTTATATGATCTTATAATAAATATATAATAATTATAAAAATAATAACATTTACAATGACAATAATAGTAATAATATTAGCAATAACTATTATATATTAATATTGATCATTATAACTATAGTATATAGGCCCTATTTGCCTACTAGGCCTAATCATTTACATAGACCCTTTGTCACTACTACGATTAGAGTGTGCACTCAGATGCTTTGATTGCCGACGTTTTATCTCGCTCTGTTGTTCGTCATAGGCATTTTTACCGCCAACTCTTTAAAAAATATGGTACTGACGTTTATTGGTTAATCACTTTTCAATTTCTAATTGCGTGTATAGCTTAGGATTTATCTTGTTTAATTTCTTACAGTTTTTATTTTGATCTTTTTTGTATTTATTATTTGTACGTGTAAACGCTGAAGGACAAAGGCGTGTCAGAAATGTCTTGTTATAATTTAAATAAATCAGAAATTTTTCCCATTTCTATATATTTTCTAATCATTTTTTATGTTTTTCCTTTCCTTTTTTTTTTTTGTTCTTTTCCTTTCCGTTCATTTCTTTTCCTTTCTTTTATTTTTTATTTTTTCCGGTTTCTTTTATTTTTTTTCCCCATATACTATCTTTTCTTTTTTTTTTCCGTTCCTTTTGATTTCTATTTTCTTTCATATCTTTAACTTCCATATTTACATTTACTCCTTTTTTCTGTTCTTTTCCTTATATTCTTTTATTTTTTCTTCTTTTTTTTTCATTTATTTGTTTTCTTTTATTTTATTTTCTTTCCTTTTTTCCTTTCTTCTCTTGTCTTGTTTTTTTCTTTCTTTTCTTTTGACAACCATTCAATAATTTTGATGATTGCATTATACTCCTTATTTATACATGTTTAAACAAATAATGATAGTAATAAATATAATAATAGTAATAATAATAATAATAATAATAATAATAATAATAATAATAATAATAATAATAATAATAATAATAATAATAATAATAATAATGTAGTTTTATATAGCGCACATATCCATCTAACATAAGATGCTCAGGGCGCTTGATATGTATGCTAGGAACTCCTTGTTGTAAATTAATATCAAATATATTAGCAGGCACCATGAAATCCAATATGGTAACCATCTTGAAATACAATATGGCGGTCTTCTGACAAAATTTCTGATCACTGCATAATACACCCTGTCTTCACTCATGAGACCAAAAGCCAGTAAATCAGAAAACCAGTACATTATTTTACAAGATATTTTTCACGTAACCAATATATACATACATACATACATACATACATACATACATACACACATACACCCATACATACATACATACATACATACATACATACATAATCTATAGGCCCTATTTGCCTACTAGGCCTAATCATTTACATAGACCCTTTGTCACCACTACGATTAGAGTGTGCACTCAGATGCTTTGATTGCCGACGTTTTATCTCGCTCTGTTGTTCGTCATAGGCATTTTTACCGCCAACTCTTTAAAAAATATGGTACTGACGTTTATTGGTTAATCACTTTTCAATTTCTAATTACGTGTATAGCTTAGGATTTATCTTGTTTAATTTCTTACAGTTTTTATTTTGATCTTTTTTGTATTTATTATGTCTATAAAACGGTTATATCTGGCCCCCAAAAGACATGTGACGTCACACCACGGTGAAACCAACAACAGTAATAGACCTTTCCGGAGTGTCAATCAAACTTATCAACCGACTAATCAGAACAGCGCTAGGAATGCGCGCGCGTCTTACAAACACACGTGTTGTCCCACAAACGCACGTGTTCGCGTATGTTTTAACACTGCTGTCTTTGTGGGTCCTAAGCAACAATATCCAAGGGGCGGAGCTTAGCGGAAAGGTCCATTAGGTCTAACATCTGAGTAATAGGCTTATTAAGTACTAATATAAGCCTAACAGTTGTCGCAACAACAAGTAAACTTGTGTAAAATGCTTTCGGTGTTATTGCCACTTGCTATCATATTACTTGCAAGTGAATAAATATTGATTTAGGGTATGTTCACACACACACACGGCGTAAGCCTGGCGTAGCGTACGCCTTTGTGTGTGATAGGCAGTGGCGTTACTTCCGCCACTCACAACGCCACCTTCGTGGCGTTTTAACGCTACCTGCAGACCCCAGATTAGTTAACGCCACGGAGCTAACGCCAGTGATGACCTCATTTCAAGAGATTGCCAATCACGATTGCAATAGATTAGTTACTTTGATCCCTTTCCTGTGCTCTTTATTAATGAAATGGTAAAGGGGTTTTTTCCATTGCATTTTACTTAGTTTACAATGTATATGATTCGTTGATTGTGTTTTGTAAGATATTTTAACCTAACTTTCTATTAAAACCTGCAACACCAGCAATTGTTCCACAATGCTAGCTGAAAAATCAGAAGTAAAATTGTTCATTTAAAATACAGTAATCATAAAGTTCACTTCGAACAATTCACAGATTTAAAAGTTTTAATGATGCACTGTCAATATTTTACTACAGTTAAAAACCCGTACATTATTTAAAAATGAAAACTATTCCCGCATAGGCATTACTACTAGTTTAACGTAGCGTTAATTTAGCGAACGCCGTTTGTGTGAACACTTTGGAATTTTAATCCGTGGATTAGCTTACGCCGCCGGCGTAAGCTAATTCATTGACTGGGTACTGATCAGGACCCCATCCCCGACAACCACAGTGTGAACTAAGCTCTAGACTCGCATGTCTTTTTTAACTTTTCGTTTCCTTATTCGAGTTTCCGAAGTGACTCACAACGACCCAGTAATTGAATCAAGACCTGTTTCCGGGGAATATCCAGCTAATAAACATTTTCCATATTTTTATGTTATAGTAAATGGGTGTATAAAACTTTTTTATTAATTGAAAAGTCAAAATTACCCAACAATGGTAAAATAAATGAACGATTAAATATTGATAATGATAAATTTAACAGTAATTAGAAAAATGTTTTCAGACGTGACGTGGTTTTTATTATCCATACGGCACAGTATGACGAGCTAAACAATAATAAAATACAATATTTCATTATTGAAAATTTGTGTTTGTTTTGATGTCATTGGAAGTTAATAACCTATATGACCATATTCGAACTAAGAGTTAATAATTTAATTAAATTTGAGATGAACACTTAAACCGAGGCATGTAAGCGGGCTATGTAATTATGGCTCGGGTATGTTTCTTTAAGTTTGCATCATTTAATAACTTGTATTTAGTTTAATTAAAGTTAACTACTTTTTATACCATTTGCTCAGTAAATAACTTGTTTAAAAATAGTTGTATCTATTTTTGCGTCAGTGGTGGTGTAGGTTGCCGTTTTGGTCGAAAGTGATACGCTACGAATTGATCAGTCACAGAAATATTGAGAAATTGGAGACAAAATATGCAAATGAATATTAAGAACCGGAAGTTTGGCGGTTGTATACATTCCACAGCAAAGCATCCTCACTGATTAATAAAGCGGTTGTGAATTAAGACATTTTGCTTTGTTCTTGCTAGAGACTTTACATCGGCACATGCGCACTTTATGGCAAACGCGCAATAATCAAATTAGTTTACAGTGTACAGTCATCCGGAAGAAGCAGACCTACAAACTTTAGAAAGGGATCCCCTTAACGTTCTAAAAACACAGATACATTGTGAAAATCAGTCGAACAAGTTGTAGCATTTACAATCGTCCTAACAAGTTGTAGCATTATAGGCCACAACGTTTTCCAGATTGCAAGTTCAGATATTTGATTTCTTTCGAAATTGTTGTATCCAATTTTAACGCATTGTGACTACGTGACGCTTTTCTTAGTTGCTAAGGGCGTTTTCGAGTATAAACAAGGCGAAAGTGCCTGACGAAGAGTCACCATCCAATTAAATTCGTTCATTTCTGTTTTTGCTTGCGACTTCTTGTTCACGGCCATTATTTCTGCCGTCTTGGAAACTTATTTTTCCCGGAACGTGCCATCAAAATGGTCAAACCTCTCTTTAAAGTGTGTGTGTTGCTGTTTGCTTTCATCTTAAATGTTGGTAAGTGAAAGAAAGACTTGCATTCTAATAAACTATTGTCAGTTTCGCATCAAAATAATTCCTTTGATTTATGAATGTGAATTAGGTAACGATTGCTTCTTACAATCTAGCTATTGTAGCTACTCAAGCAATAAATACATTTTGTACTATGTACTTCTAAATTTCTGAAGGTCGTTAATCACGTGATAAATTTCCTTTACGTGATAAATAACTATTCATTTATTGATAATATATTGGAGTTTTAAAAGAATTTTATAGGTATAGGCCTAGACCTATTAAATCTCAACTTCATTATACTTTTGCGGTCTTTGCACATTTGTAACAGTGCGATCATTGATTCCATTAAACTAATAACAGAATGATTGGAAATTTGTATAATGATTAAAATAACAATTACAATCATAGTGACTTTACTACTAACAACCGAAAAATATTCTGCTGCGGGATATATATACACACTCTCAATCATAGAATAAATATAAATTCTATACAACGAGGCATTGGGCCTATCATGAAGATAAAGGAGAAGATAAAACAGTGCAATGTATAGTTCCTAACTTTGGTAAATTTCAAAATTTTGATAAATTTTGATTTTAAAGCTTGGTCACATTGATGGAACAGGCCTATATACGTTAACACAAACGCAAGTAATGCTATTAAGCGTTGCGAAAATTGCTCTACTGTAAACAGAAGCTAAATATTTGTAACGTTTCATCATGCCGAGCAAAGTTAGCCCATTCTGACAATTATTAAATCAATTACAAAAAAAAAAAAATAGTAATCTTAATAGTATTAGTCGACAATTTAAGAATATTATTTATAAATTAATTCCAATTCAAGTAAATCAGTTGAAAATGAAACGCAACAGTGAAATATTTATGAAATTATATTGCTTATACGCAAAGTTCATAGTTCATAACTTTCAGGGATAGTTCATAGCTGTCGTATAATGGCAAGGCTGAAACGCAAGGGACGCAACACACGATTCCGGCTGAGAGGCTTTTAGCAACACATATAATGAAACATTATAAACTGAAACAGTTTTTAAACAACCTTGGTTGAAGATTGAAACTTCCGTGCTGAACATACAATAAAGAAACTCTAGGCCTATAACACACCGATACTGAATTTGATGAATCATATCTAAGCGTTCACAGCTCTAGTGCTTAAATTATTTCAATGTCAATATTCAGATAACAATAATACATTAAATTATGTTCTAATCCAGGCTATAAAACATTGGTTTGACTATCACCTTTCAAGTAATTTTCCTCTATTTTAAATGTGAAAAGCAACAGAACATTTTCCTGTTTCTGTTTATTTTCTGTCTTGCTTAGTTCTGCTGAACAAGAGTACTTATATATAGGCCCTATGCGGACACCGGCGCTGTTATGTCCACTTGGCCGATTATTATTATTTTAATTAACAGTATCCATTATAATGTTGTACCGTATTATTTATCTACTGTAGTTAATTACAGAATATGCAAATTTTTATATTATATCGAGCTTGTAATACTTGTAAGACAGTCTTTATGATTATTATCTATACTAATAATAATTGTTTCGTTTTTCGGAATTTTCTAATAAGTCTAGGTGTGCAAAAGTAAAGTAATATGTTCTTGATCGATTGGCCTACTTTCCAATGTAAATACAGTATTCACATTAATATCTATAAAAGTAATTACCGATAAGACAACTTTTTTTTACAAGATTTCCATTGCTGTTTAAAAAATCCATTTCAAAGATTCTCTATATAGATGCTGATTTTATCTGAATTAATTTATTGGAAATAGGTGATTTCCTCTCAAAAAGGCTTAATCTCAACTGTTAGGTTTCTTAATTCCAAGTTCCTCTTAAGTTACCATATACCAACAAGATAATAACTCTTTTACGCTTATTTTTCATGTTTATTAAAATAATAATGTTGAATAAATACTGAAGAATAAGGCTCCTAAGATATGTACATATTTGGACAATTTCGAGTTATTGACTATAATTTTTACAAGTTTCGGTCATAGAGTAAATATGAGGGCGCTATTCACAGATCAACCAATTTTGAGATTTACGCAGATCTTGTGCTTTAATGATTTTCTTGTTCGGCAGGTGCATTGTCTCATTCCGAAGACAATATATTGTACTTTTTTCCTCAAGCGAAGAGAGATGGACTGAACATAATATGGGCACATGACTTAAATAGTCAAACGAAATTAACACAAGCACTTGAGGGTATGTACCATCATAAACCAACTACATAATTTATTTATTCATTCATCCATTCATTAACTCAGTCATTCATTTCTTCATTCGTTCTTTTATCCGTTCCTTATTCTTTAATACATCATTCATTCATTTATTTTTATACTCATTCATTCACTTACTTATCGTTCTTTGATTTATTCATTCATTCATTTCAGTCAGTCAGTCCATTATTCATTTTATTTCATTCTTTTATTCATATTTTTTTTTCATGCACCATTTATTCATTCATGTATTCATTCATTTAGTAATTCATTCATTCATTTATTCATTCATTCATTTGGTTAAGTACTATATCAATTAATCAGTTATTTTACACTATTAATTCGGTGTGTGATTACTGTAATGTAATTGGTCTATTTATTAATTCATTGATTAATTCATTCATTCTTTTATTCATTCCGTCATTAATTTGTTTAGTCGTTTAGCAATCAGACAAAAAATAGTTAATTATTTTTAAAAAATGTAATATTGATTTCTAATATTATGCATCGTATTGTTATATTATAAACTGGTTTTCCTTCTTGTACAGGTTCGGCTATGATGTTGGAGGCCGACGTAAGCCTTCGTGATAGGGGTAAGCCGAACCAAGTACCTATCATGTCACCGAATTCAATGACCCCGAGTGACATCACCTTAGAACAATGGATTGATATGGTAACCCGGTACACAAACAAAGGTAAATGTAGGATATATTTATTATTATTATTATTATTATTATTATTATTATTATTATTATTATTATTATTATTATTATTATTATTATTATTATTATTATCATCATCATCATCATCATCATCGTTTTACTTTCATTATCGCTACTGTTATCTTTATAAATGTTGCTGTCTTTATCATAATCATAACTATTACCATAATAATTATTCTTATAATGAATATATTTATATTTTTATAAAACCATAATCATTTTCATCTTTTTAACTTTCTTTGTCGTCATTTGTATAATTATATTTAAATGTATTTAAATAATAGCATTTCATCAATATAATGATTGGTTCATTCTCTTTACTCTGTAAGGAATCAAATTGGACTTCAAGGATGTACAGGCCGTCCAACCTGCCCTTGACATCCTACTGTTAAAGGAGGCTCAGTTGAGAGTTCCACTGTTCTTCCATGCCGACATAATCGCTGGTCCAAACGGTCAGAACTCCGTCGACCTTATCCAGCCGACAGAGTTCATTGCCATAGTCAATACCATGTTTCCTAACGCGACCTTTTCCCTGGGGTTTGTCTCTTCGGCGTCGTCAGGGCTCAACCAACAAGATCGCTACACCTGGACTATGATCTTTGACATGCTCGACACCAGCTCAACCGTCACAACGCACCCGATAACTTTTAATTTCCGCGCTGTGTGGGCGAACAAATCGTGGCAGAAGTTCGTCTGGCTTCTTGGGTTGACCAATCGTTTCTCTGTGACCATCTGGTCAAAAGCCACAGATCCTTTGAACACTTTTACAGGTCTAGAGGAGCTCCGCAATAATGGTGATAAACGGCGCATTTTCTATGACCTAGCCCCTCAACACTTAGCTAGGTTCAAGACCGATTTATCTTTTGTGACGCCAACCACTGCTGCGCCTAATGTCTGGAATAGGAACCTCTGGGAGGGAAACGCTAATGCTTTAACTAGTGGTTATATATACTTAAGCGCAGAGGGGGCTGCAATCGTAGGGGATAGTTACCCAGGGTATATTCAAACTATTGATATGTGGAAACCATCGAAAGATGGATTGAACCCATTGATTGTCAGAGGGCAAATTCAGTTTGTCAATCGTAATATGCAGAAGGCACCCGGACCCGCCAGCACAGAGATCATAATCCGTGCATCTCCTATGTCAGAGGGACCTGTGATTGTACCAATCAAAGGGATTAAGTGTGCAATAGAAGACACCGGGCGTATTTACGTTCAAGATTTGATGTCGCACTATGATTCATTAGATAAAATGATTACACCAGCAGACTGTTACTCGTTTGAAATTCTTGACAACGGACAAGAGGTGACGTTCAACGTCAAAGTTGTGCAGTGCAGCGACTCAGACCTCAGACCCACCTACATCGACAGTGTCTCCATCGTATTCGAGAACGTCACACACATTGAAGTCGAAGACTCACTTGTTCAGTTCACAAAATCCGGTGACATGAAGAACGTTGTCCTGGAAGATGTCAGTGTGCAAGGAAAGAAATTCAATAGGAAGAGGGGAAATCAACCACCGAATAATTTGGGAAATGATAATAGACCTCTCATCTTGACAACTTTCCTATCTGTAGTTTCCCTCATTCTTCTTAAAATATTTACATAAGTTAACGTATGTTTAATGTTATTTTTTGTTTACAGTGGTTTTGTTTTTGACAATGCAAACTAATCTGTTTGTCGCTGTGCATGCTGGGTAATTGCATTAACTGTCTACCATATTTCTTCGTCTTGAATGTAGATTATTTTAAATAATAAAACTATGAGAAAATAAACTGTAATCAGAATTTGGAAACTGAAATTTTTACTGTAGATTTTACATCACGATTTTAAAGATAATAATATAATTTTAATTTCAAGACTGAATCCATTCTTGATATTCATATAGTGGTTATAATAATTATGTAAGGATACTTTGTAACGATAAGAACCGGTGAGTGATAGACTTAGCTTCGAATCTTTAGTGGAAATCGATTAAGGGAGATCGTTGCTTATCGACATTATCCTTGATTTAGGTTGAAATTATACGAAAGTGTAGCAATTTAAGTAATTTGACAGTGTTAGGCCTATGATTGTATTATATCTTACGTAAAACATTTATTCCCAGATTATTTGTTGTTTATAGCTGAACGGGAATACAAGAATATAAACCAATAAAAGAAAAATTATATATTTTCTTATTGTGTAATTAAATACAGCATCAAAACAGTCACATTATATATCCACGTTTCCCAAATTATGGTCGCGACCCAATAATGAGTCGCCAACATGTTGCATTGGGTCGCGAGTACCGTAGGTTTGCAAAAATAAAATCAATTCATGTGCTCATTTACAGTTGTCTGTTTTAAAGTTTAACAGATCTGACGACTTGAAAACAGTATTTTTATGTGAACCCTCGAACATTAGAACAATATTTTATTATATTCCCACAATGAAATATCCTGAAATTCGTATAACGACTATTATTTTCTGTTGCCTTTCATATTCACCACAGCCTAATTGTGTAAATCTAAAGCTTTCCATTGTTTAAAAAAACAATTTATAGGAATAAATAATATTAATACGGAAATGATTTAAGGTGACCCAAGTTTTTAATCATACAATTCAGTACAGTACAGTACATCACCAACTTAATTTTCTTCATCAACTATTCGCGTCTATCTTAGCATTTTCGGTCGGTCTGTCCAGTTATCCATCAGTCGGGCTGTTTAACATGATTTTCAGTTTTGATGTATCTTTAGAATCCCGTTCTAGTTTTATTGCTACCATTTTTTGATTTAGAACTATTATCATTATTATTTAATAGGCCTATCTAAAAACGAAAATACCGTATGGCCATTTTCAGTCAACTTCATCACTCTCGTATCTAAGCAAGAAACCTACAAGAAACTCTGCAATGATCCTGCTTATCTGAATTGGCAGATTGCCAACACGCTTACCACCACCACCAACACCACCACTAATTGCATCTGTTGTGTACCCCATCATTCTTGTCATGAGCCATGCTCTCTCGACGATTACCTTTTCTTTACCAAAACCATTCGCTTATCTTCGATTTAAAAAAGTGCCCCTTGAATTTTCCAATTTTCCATAAGAACTCCTTCAATTTTCATCTATTTCCATAAAGGCCCCCTCAAAAAGAGCCAAAACTATTTATTCGCGTGAATACGGTACTCTATTTTTGAATGGATGGACTTACGTCGTATAATTAAGCTTAGGCGATACTTGTTAAACACCTTGTTTAGCTCACCTAATTTTTTGAAAAATTTAAGGGACGGGCGGAAAAAAGATGAAAAAAAAATTTCATTTTATAATCTAGCAAAATTATCCTGCCAAAAATATCGAGTGGAGGACCCATTTTACACAAAATATGAGAAACCCGGACCCATTTTTAAAATGTGGACCCATTCTTTGTGGACCCAATAGACAAATTGTGTGGGACTGTCCCAATAATTTCGCATAGGGAGGGGGTAATTGCCTGAGATGATATTTCGATATAAATCATAGCCTGTCTTATATCAAAAAAGTTTGTCATTGCTATTATCGTTGTCATTATAATATAATCATCATCATCATCATCATTACCACATCATTACTATCAAAATCATCATTGTCTTGATTATCATCATGTCATAATCTTACACGCAATCAAAGCCCTGTGGCCCCGGCCAAAAACGTTGTACTCGCTCGCGTCACCCTCCCCTCATCCGGAGATGGGCAAAATACCGTATCTAATATAGGCCTATAACATATTAATAATTTCTTCCTTCAAAGTAGTTTTTATTCCTTAATTCAAGTTACCTAAGATTGATTTCTTATACTAATTATTTTTTGGATGTCTCATTAATGATTCATACCTTTATAAGTATTTTAAAGTTTATGTCAGAAAATTTATATTCCATCGATTTTCATTTATATTTCATAATGTTAATGTAAATAACAAGGTAATGATGAAATGTCATGGAATAAACCTTAACACAGGCAGTCTACTGGAGACTAATTTTCATTTGTTCTAAAAATCCCTTCCTCTAGGGAGTCTGGGAAACCCCTCCCCCACCTCGGAAAAACATTCCTCTAGATGAGAATGTTTCTGTCGTCAAAATGACCGGTGATGGATTTAAGGGAACTCAGCCGCCATTAAAAATTGGGGAAAAAGAAAATTAAAAATTTGAGTCTGAGAGTGCCATTTCCGGGCATTTGGAGGCGCCATAATCATACATTTTCTTACCTCAGCCTCAACCAGGTGGGGCTTAGGTGGTATAGACCCTTTACCTCCGAAAGTTCCTTCCTGAGCCCCCTCCATTTCATAATCCTGGATCCGCCAATGATGACATGAGCCGCGATGGCAGTGTGTTCTTTGATCTTATCCGACACAATGTGCTGGTTCGTTGGTTGTTGCCAGCTTGATTGTAAGAGTTCCTATGGGAAGTATACATTTTTTTTAAAATTATTATAGGCAAAATTACATTTATGTGTGAGATTTTGGTCCTTATAAACGTGAGGACGTGAGGCAGGCCCCCGACACCCCGAATGGTAGGTATGTTATTCAGTGGTGGCTCCAGAGGGGGGTGGGGGCTAGGGGCTATAGCCCACCCGTCGGGGAAGCATAGCCCCCCCCCCCTCCGTCGAGGAAGACTATTAA